TCACCATCCATGGCTTCGACCGCCAGATGTCGAGCCGGTCGCTCGCGGCCTTCGGCAGCAACATGCTGAACCTGCGCCCGGGTCGCGGCCGTGATGGGCCTCGTCGAGGGCGCCCTCGATCCGGTCTACGAGAGCTTCTGGAGCTATGTCCGCAAGTCGCCCCACGTGAAGGTCATGACCTTCAACCGCGGCGATCAGGTGTTGCTGCAGCGGTTCTTCGATCTCGGTCAGATAACGAACTATCCGATCTGCTACTTCGACCAGGAGGAGGTGGGCGAGGTCCGCGCCTTCGCTCGACCGGGATCGTTTCCTGGCGCAGTACGGGCTCGACCCGAAATACAAGTATTTCGCGGTCTGCGGCTTCTTTGCCGCCTACAAGGGCCATCTGACCGCCATGAAGGCGCTGGAGTTCCTGCCCGATGACTGGCGCCTCGTGCTGGTGGGCGGCGAGCATCCGCAGGCTCTAGAGCCCGGCCGCGACATCGGCGGCTATGTGCGCCAGCTCCTGTCCTTTCCTCTCGCGGTCGACCGGCCCTTCGTCGGACGGCAGCCTCGAGGTCGAGGGCGGCCTGAAGACCTTCCTGGGCGGGCCGGTGGTGCGCTCCGACCAGGTCTATCGCCGCGAGCTGCGCGACAAGCTCTTCGCAAGGTCCGAGTTCAAGTATTTCTTCCCGACCACCGAGATCAAGCACCGCATCCACTATCTCGGCCAGGCCTCCGACGAGGAGATGCCGAAATTCTACGCCATGCTCGACTATGTGGTGCATCCCTACATGCGCACCAAGGAAGGTCAGAGCGGTTCGGGCCCGGCCACCTTCGCCCTGGAATTCGGCTCGCGCGCGCTGTTCTCGAACGCACCGGTCTTCCGCGAGATGGGTTTGTATTTCGAAGGCGCGATGCAGTACTTCAACATCGGCAACTTCATGGAGCTGGCCGACCAGCTCCAGCGCTTCGACGGCTTCGTGCCGGGCCTCGACGCCAGGCGCCGCGCCGCGATCGAGACCTACAATCCCAAGGGTATGGTCGACGCCTACCGCCGGCTGATCGAGGCCTAAACCCGGGATCCTTAACTCACCTGCGGCTATGTCAGACGTGGTCGCGGATCGAGTAGTAGATCATCAGCAGGAAGATCCAGGCGCCGAACGAGGCAAGTGCCACGACGAGGACGGACACGAGGCGGCGCGGATAGACTGGGTATTCGGCCAGGGACGGCGTCACGAAGACCTCGAGATACATGGCGCGGCGCGACGCCTCGAACTGCGCCCGCTGTAGCGACTGCATGGCGGCGTCATAGAATTTCTCCGCCAGCTGCCGCTCGATGTCGACGTTCTCGAAGCTGCGGATGTTTCGGCTGATCGGCAGAGCCTCCTTGGCATCCATGCCGGTCATCCGCGCCTCGGCATCGTGGATCAGCGATTCGAGCGCGGCGATACGGTCGCGCAGCGAGACGATGACCGTCGAGTTCTCGCTGGTCCGGCCGCGGGCCGTCAGATAGTCGGCGCGGACGCGGCCCAGCTCGTCGCGCAGCTTGGCGATGCCCAAGCGTGCCGAATCGGCCTCCTT